AAATATGAAATTTAATTGATTAGTCTTTTTTTTTTTAAAATTTTTACATGCTGCTATTTGGATAAGGTTGACTTGTATTTGAAGTTGATAATTGCCGTAATTGATTAGTAATAACAATAGAAATACTACTAAAAAGTTTTTCATTAAATGCTGATGGCTAGAATAAAGAAAATTTTGCTTTCAAGATAGAAAAATTTATTTTTGTTTTATACATGATTTTCATCTCGATCAAGTCGTGTACCTGCATAAACCAATGATGCAATTACATATTTTAATTCTTCACTTGATGAAAATATATGATCAATATTTAAATTTCTAATAATTTAAATTATTAGATATATTTATATAGATTAAATATATAATAATAAATCATACCCAATAGTTTTTATATGTGTAATATCAAAAACATTATTTAATAAATCAACAGGAATTTCAAAAAGAATATGAGTCTATATAAGATAAAATAGAAAATATTTTTACTCTCGAGTTTAAAGATATGCTCATCTTTTTTGATCGTTTCTGAAAAAAAAAAGAATTTTCAAATGGGTTTTTGTTGAGAAAGTCTGATTCTACATAGGACTATATTTTCGTTTTGAATTTCCTATCTGGATGAGCTGTGAGTATTCTTATATCAGTCTCAAAATCATTTTCTTGATTTTAATATCAACCGATTCAGAGAAAATTAATTACAGTAAATCAAAAAGCGATGTTTATTTTCATTTTTCAACCATCGGTCACCTATATATGAGAGAAAGTTCAGGCTCAAAACTAAAGAAAATTAAATCAGCTTTTGAAAAGAACATGGTCAATAGTGAAAGTGTTTCTATTCACAAGAAGTCTTTCTTACGAGTGATCAATTGGTTAGTTTACATAAGAGATGGTAATCGAATAAATCTTTACATCAAAATAAATCATCGAAAAACAAATACTTCAATTAAATATCGATCAATAGAGTACGAAGTATTCTTTCAACATATGAACTTCATAAAAATATTAGATGCCTACGAACTGATATAATGCATTCATAAATCATTCGTATTTATCATGAAATTCACTGATATTGCTAATTTTCGCAACAAAAAACAACTTGTTCAGACATAAATCCACGAGTTCTTTCGAATATTTTTAAAGATTTTCGTTTTTCACTAGCAGGGTTCCAACATTTTATTGTTTCTTTGCTCATCAGTTTCAAAAAAAAACGCTTAATCTCTTTCCAATCCCATCAGTTGTAGCAAGACACTTCTGATGAACTTCATGAGTCATCTTTTCGCTTCTATCGGTTTTGGAACATCTCTTCCCTCGAGAATATATATATTAATGAAGAAATTATTAAATTTTTAACTTGGAAAAACTCAACACTAAATAGTTATTTTCTTCGTAGAGTTAATAAAAAGAAAAAGTAATTAAGTTAGTTCTGTTCCAAACATTAAATCGTTATTCTACTTACAACAAGTAATATAAGAAACATATTAAATTCTTCAATATGATTTTGTCGTATATCAACCATATGATAAAGTATATGACGATTTTCCATAAGAAATTCATCATGTTTTCTAATATTTCAATATATATAACAATATATTTTTTTTTAATTTTCATTTGTATGACTTACTTTCCCTCATCATTTCTCATTTCTGTAAGTAATAAATCTTGAATTGTTGAAGCTAAATGTTTAATTCGTCTTTTATCAAGTTCTATATTAAAAACAAAATATCAAATCTTGTTTTTAATAAGAATGATTTTTTACCTGAATTTACAAAACAATTCATTGGAAATTTAGCAAATAATTCCGTTGCCTATGAAAAAGAAACTTTTTATTTAGTTTCCCCCCAAAAAAAAAGATTGTATTTTACTTTTGGTCCAAAAATTCCATGAATCGCACGATCTTTTAGATTTGTTGGCATAAATATATCACGTGCTAATTTATGTCGCTAAATAAAACAACGATATTTAAGACTGTTAATCGACGTATTATTATTATTTTTTTTTTACCACAGGTTTTTGTGTTAATGATGATTGTGTAAAAAATTCATCAACTTGATTACGTTCAGAGGCTAAAAAGATTTATCAAAATATCAAGAATATTTATTACATAAAACTAACGTTCTAAAACCCAGTCGAATACCCAAAACATGCATCTCAATGCAAACTTACTCAGTCGAGTTCGACACAAGTATGAAAAATTGTTGAGTATAAGACACTAACATAAAACTTACTTGAAACAAAAATACCATCAAACATCCAAATACGTGGTAAACAATCAAGTACATGATGACGATCTATTAAATAGAATAGATACTTTTAAATGAAAAAATTTTTTTTTGTTTATTTTTCTTAACAATTTGAATCAGCATCTAATATAGTATTTCCATCAAGTCTTAAATCAAGTATAAACATATGACGAATATGTTGTAATTCAATCCATTGTAAACGATTATTTGAAAGTATAAGTGAACCAAGTGCTATAAAACGTGATAAATGTTGAAGACTTCGAATCTAATTATAGAAAATAAATAAATAATACAAAATTAAGATTATTTTAAAATAATTAATTTATACTTGATTATTTCCAACATCAAGTTTCCATAAATGTTTAATATGTTCAACACCGGCTAATGTTGTTAATGAATTACCATTACAAATAAGTATTTGTAATTGTTCATATTGAGGCACTTGGAATAAAGTGACTACAACAACATATATTCTTTCTTCGTATGAATTCACATAATAATAACAATAAAGATATATCTTTTGTAAAAAGTTGATTTCTTCTTCTTTGATAAGTAAAAGAATACAATCTAGTAAATACCAAGTTTTTCCAACTTTTCGTATAGCTTTGAAGTCTCCTTGTCGTAAGTGAAATTTTCCTAATGATAATTTTTAAAAGTGCTAAGAGCATAGAGGTCATAGACTTTTAACATGACCAGTTTTCAATCACTTTAGTACAAGAAAAAAGAAGTCCTAACATATATAGGAAAATTTGTGTTTCACAAAAGAAATTTAGGATGAAACTCTCCAGGTGATACAAATCTTTTTAGACGAAACTTATGTTCTTAGTCTGAGTATTATGGCATAAGATAAAACCTGTAATCATTTGTATCCTTGTTGCTTTCTTTTTGTGTTATAGTCATTTTACTCAGTTGTGTGAAATACGATATACAAGAAGCGTTGAATTACAGCGGTAAAAATGTCAACTGTCATCATTACAAATGTGACAGACATTACCACGGCAACATTACGTAACGTGACAGATGTCTTAGCAACGTCCTTCACCATTCTAGACGGTAACAAACATTGGTGATTTACGATCACATATCATATATTAATGGTATTTCGTTATAATAAATGAACTAATTTTTGAATTACTGAAAGATAAGGCAAATGAATGGTGAAGAAATGTTCTCTAAAATAATCTTCCTATGATTAACAAAAGTAACTATATCGTATTTCACATTTCAATCTTGCAAGAATTACGCTAAGTAGTTTCTAGTACAGTTCGGATTTGTTACAAAAATAATTCAAAGTCGTCATTTCGATCTGAAGCTTCGTTCATCAATAAGTCTTATGCATTCGATAATACACTGAAATGTAAACCTATCATTACAGGAAGAAAACATTCGTTGTAACTGAAACGTTCAAAATATGAAAGAGTTCATAAAATATGTTTATGAGCAAAGTTTTAGATAGCATTAACAACATTGAATTTTTTTGTAACACACTCTGTGCTAAGGATAGACACTCAGTAAAATAGCGTTAAGCCGAAAAGTAAAGTAATACGGATACGTAGTCTTAATAGATTCTATTTATTAACATAAATCTTATCTAAAAAAAACTTTTTATCACTTGGAGCAATTCACTCATTATAATGGAAAATTAATTTTTCTAATTTTTTAAATTTGGTTGAATTATCTTCAGATTTTATACCAAAATTATTGAATTTTCACGATATTCATCGATAAATCTTTGATATAAAAGCTTATTTCAGTACAGGACATATCTATTAAATTCTTATCTTTATGATTCAATTCTAATTTAACAAATATTTGAGAATACTTTTTTTTTTTTTTTGATAAAAAACAATAAAGTAATAAAATGCAAGAAGAAAAATCCAACATCATTTGTATTCATTGGCTATTGACATTTTTACAATCTCATTATATTAAGATGTACTTTTACATTTTCAAATGACAAACTTCAAATGTTTTATATTCTTTTTTGTGATCGCGTTTTTTTTTCTATAAATAGAAGTTAATTTTTATCGAACATTTTTAACAATATAAAGTAAAGTTTTCTTCTCAATTTATTTTAAATGTCTGAGGAAAAAGAAAAAAAACAAGGAAAAAATTTTGTTTATATGTTTTAATCATATTTATATAAAGAGTGTTTTAGATGAAGTAATGCATTATAATAATCAAAAATAATTCTTACTTATTCTTGTATTATTAAAGTTTGCATAATTACTCTTCTCCTCGTCATTATTGTTTCTATTTAATGGTACCTGATATTCAAAAATAAAGATATTCTATAGTTCTAGAAAATATATTCATTAAAAATAAAATGTCAACTCACTCGAATAGGAACCTTCATAATTATCAACTGAACATGATGAATTTACGTAGTTTAAAGAATCTATAGGTAACTGAAAAAGAAAATTATTTTATTTTTTCTACGAAAGTGAAAAGAAATAGAAACAAAAATTATATGAAATATTATTATTATTATCAATCAGCTGTTCTTAATAAGTACGAATGACTTAATAAAAGACATTGATTAGAATATCCATTCACGTATTCTGTTTCCTAGCAACCACCTTCCCTCTACTACAGAAAGGAACAAAAAATAAAAAGAAAGATATCATTATACGATAGTAGCGCTCATATGAAGATTCGCTAGAAATCTTGTAGTAATTAGTTTGTTTCTTTTTTCGAACATACGTAGATATTATATTAATAATACTTGTACGTTAGAATTTTGTTTATCGATTCGACTAATTTTATAGGATGAGTGAAAGTATTCGTCAACGTAAAAAAATTAATGAAAATGATGTTCAATCATCAAATGATGATATTAATCGAAATATTATAATCGATCGAGATGATCGTCAATATCGTAATCAATCTTCAATACCAATGTCGTAAGTAATTTTCTTTCTTTTTTTTTGTTTACAATTATTTTAAATATTTCAAAAATAAACTTATCAACTATTTTATTCTATGCAATATAGACTGAATTGCTGGATACATGAGTAGGTGTCGATTGCTTAATTCAATATCAGTGGATATGGGAATACTTTTGAAAAAAAAAATTTCCAACGAATATACATGATTCGGAATTACCTATTGAATAGTTCATTGCTATATGAAATTTAAGAATATAGATAAATTTTTATTATTATATCTATATATTTAGACAAATGTGTTTGGGTATAGTAGCAATATCTATGATTGCTTTATTAGCTTTTATACAATTTGGATTACCTCATGAAGATCATATGACAAAACAGTATGAATAAAAATTGTAGAAATTTGAACTATTTTATTGTGAAAATATATTATTTTTTTTTTGTTTGTTAGTTTTCCAGCTTCATTACCAACAATGGATGGCGGACCTTTACTTGTAAATGATTTTCTTGCTCATAGTGAACGAATTTATGTTGGTGAAGGACCAGAATCAATCGAACCATTAAATGGTAAATGTTTTTTTTTTTTTAGTTTATTTTCTTATTTATTATATGAAAAGACAAAAAGAAAAACTAATTAACTAACTAACTAATTAGGTTTACTTTATACGGGTTTAAAAAATGGTTCAATTGTTGAATTTGATCCTATAACAAGAAAAACTCGTATTATTTATTCATCACTTAGTGTTGATGATCATCTACTTAATTGTGGTAATTAATTTGCATGGTTTTATTTTTTTGATAAATACTTTTAGATTTATATTCAAGGAAAAGATAATCTTGAACATATATGTGGTCGTCCATTGGGTATTCGTCGTTTTTCTGATAATGAACTTATTGTTGTTCAAGCATATCATGGTTTATTTAAACTTAATGTAAAAACAAGTATGTTTTATAATCACTTTGTTGCTTTTTTCAAATGAAAAAAAAATGTTCATAGAAAGAGAAATAATTTAAGTTTAGGAAATTTAGATATTAAATTTTGTCATAGTAAAAATTGAAAAATGAATCAAAAGTTCAATAAAATGATCATACACTCAGTTTCAGAAATTCATTGGTATGAATTCTTTTAGAATTTTTCTAATCTTTTCATGTGAACTTAATATAAACTCTAATGCAGAATTAAAGTTCGAATAGTTCTTTTGTTAATTGCAAAGAACAAAAAAGAAAATTGAACAGCTGATTGATAAATCAAATTCAATATAGAGTGTTTTTGTGAATTCAGATCTCCAAAGACCCATAACTAGTTATTTGTATTTATTTTTATTTTTATAGAAAAACTTACTCAACTTATAAGTGCTGATGATCCAAGATTTGGTTCTCGTCCATTACGTTTTGTTAATGATGTTGATGTACTTGATGGACGTTATCTTTTTTTTACTGATTCAGATTGGTTATATCCACGAAAAGAATTTATGTCGGTTTTACTTCGAGCTGATCCTCGTGGAAGGTAATTTCTAATTAATTTTACTTATTTTGAATTTTATTTCATAAATTAATTTAGATTAATTCGTTTTGATCTTGAAACTGGTAAAGTACGTATACTTAATGATCAATTATCATTTCCAAATGGTGTACAACTTTCAATTGATAAACAATCAGTATTAGTTTGTGAAACAACATTTGCTCGTATTATTCGACATTGGATTAGTGGTAATAATATGAAAATTGGTAAAAGTGAAATATTTATTGATAATTTACCTGGTATACCTGATAATATTCGATTAACAAGTACAGGAAATTATTGGATTGCATTTGCTGGTGTTCGACATGTTAATCAACCAAGTTTTTTAGATCGTTTACGTAATTGGCCTCGATTACGTGCTATACTTTCGGTAAGTTTAGGAATAAAATTATATATTGAAATTTCTACTATTTTTTTTTGTTTGTTTTCAGTTCATGCCAGGTTCAATAACGAAAATATTTAAACGTTTACCACATCATGGTATTGTTATTGAACTTGATAAAGATACTGGTCATATTATTCGTTCATTACATGATGCTGAAGGTTTAATTGTTCCATCAGCTTCACAAGTTACTGAATATAATGGTTATCTTTATTTTGGATCATATTATTTAGATCATATTGCAGTATTTAAACTCTAGTCGAATTATTTTATTATTATTCATGAACTTTTCTTTTTTTTTTTGTTATATTAGTTTTTAGAGTTTTTCTTTTCTTTTTTTTATATTTAATCTTGGTTATTGACAAAAAACAATCGTAATCATAAACTTATTTCTAGATTATGCTTTCGTGTTTGAAAGGTGTATGTTGTTTGCGTTTTTTACAAGGTACTAATTATCCTGATGTTATTGTTTCTCATCGACCTGAAGTTATACTTGATACATCTCGTATGGGTCAAGATGTAGTCGTAGTTAAAAATGGACGACGTTTATGTGGAACTGGTGCTGCTGTTGCTGTAAATTATTATTTTTTTTTGTATTTATTAATCATATCTTCATAGATATGATTTTTTTTTTAGAATGCACCAATCGTACAAAATAAAGCATATTTCGAAGTTAAATTACAAACACAAGGTTGAATAAAAAAAGATCTAATTTTTCTTTTTTTTTTTATTGTGTATTTATTAATAGGTACATGGGGTATTGGTTTAGGAACTCGACGAACAAATTTATCAAAAGTACCATTAGGATATGATAGTGAAGCATGGATTATGGATCAATATGGTCAAGTTAAATATGATAATAAAGTACTTAGTCAATTTAGAACTAATATAGAAGAAGGTGATGTTATTGTAAGTAATAATTTATATTAAATATTGTAATTCGTATATGAACTTCTTTAATAAAGGATGATAGAAAATTTTCAACTTCTCTCTCTCTCAGCAAATCTATGACAAACTTATTTATAGAGGAAGATTAAAGCTATCATCTGAAGAAAAAAAAAGATACTTTGAAATATATCAATGTACTATACATTTCAAAATATAATGTGTTCCACTGTCTTTTGAGCAACTCTCAATTGAAATGTCGTAGGTTTCTACCATTCAAGAAAGAAGATTCAAGCCTATCGAAATTCGATTGACTAATTAAACGAGCTCTTGGCGAAAGTTTTTAAAAACGATTTTCTGAAGCTATTTTTCCTTCATGTTAAAATCAACGTAGGATTACTCGCTAGGAAACAAAACTTTTCTTTGGAACTACGCGAAGCCGTCATTCATAACTTGTTTCGCTTTAGAGCTATTAGACTTTTCTTGAGATCCTCTATTTTAATCAGTTGATCTGTAATCAACCGAAAAAGTAGCTAGGCACTTATAATTCACTGAATAGTGATATTTATATATTTCAATCAATTAATCATATATAGGTTTTGTTATACATATCATTGATTGGACTGAGTGGTGACTCACGGATCATAGTCTAATAGTAACAGTCAATTATGACTCGGTTATTATACAATTTCGAAACGATTTGAATATTGGGACTAAAAAAAGTTCATTTAAATTTTTACATTTAGAATTATTCATTTTACTTCTTTGAATTGTCATACGTATCTTGAATGCATATCTTAATGATGATATAGGAAGTGAGACATAGCATTTTATTCTTCATTTTGTCGATTTAGTCATCATATTAACCTAATATATACATTCATTTAATTGTTCAATAAACTTCCGAGTAAATGAGAGTTTTAAAATAATTTTAAACTTATATTCAATATTTATCATTGAAAATATATGTATATACAAAGAGCAAAAACTTATATTGGGTCAAATTAAACTAGAAATGTACAAATAATTAAAGAGAATATATATATATATGATAAATTTCAATTTTTGTTTTTAAATAGGGTTTTGCATATGATCACGAAACATTTCGCATTTTTGTCAATGGAACCGAACAAGAACCATCGTGTCGTGTAACTACACGTGGTACAGTTTTTCCAATTTTTTACGTTGATGAAGGTAAATATATATATATATTTTTTTTTTTTATTTAAATCTTTTTATTTTCTTTCATTCATAGGAGCAATTCTTGATATTCAATTTTCAACATTTTATTTTCCCCCACCGGAAGGTTATGATCGTATTTTATTAGAAAAATCACTCATATAAAAATAAAAACTCGAAAAGTATTATTTATTTTTTTTTTTTGTCTTTTCAGCAGTGATTATTTTTCTGTTTATCTAAATCTTAAACACGTTCTTCGAATACTCATTGTTTATTTTATTTATTGATTATTCAGATATTTAATATAGTTATTGTTGTTGTTGTTTTTTTTCTTCTTCTTCAACAAAGATCTTCTACGCTTTCTTTTCAGATGTATCGATTAAATATTCGCCGATATGCATCAACATTTTTACATCGATATACAACTAAAAATGAGCCAATATTGGAATATCGACGTAATAGTAATGAATTAAAACAAGTACAAAATGTTTTGAATGAATATAAATCAAAAGTAATACGTATACCATGTATTATTGATGGAAAAGAATTTTGGACAAATGATATTCAAAAACAAGTTCTTCCATTTGATCATAAACATATTCTAGCTGAATATTGTTATGCTGATCAATCATTAATTCAAAAAGCTATTGATCATGCAGTTAAAAATCAATCAAAATGGGATTTAATGCCTATTGAAGAACGTGCTAAAATTTTTCTTAAGGTTTATTTTTTTTTGTTGTTGCTCATTTACTATATATATATATAACTTAGGCAGCTGATCTTGCAGCTGATTTAAAATGGCGTTCACATCTAGTAGCAACAACTATGCTTGGTCAAGGTAAAACAGTATTTCAAGCTGAAATAGATGCTGCTTGTGAATTAATTGATTTTTGGCGTTTTAATGTTCAACATCTTTCATCAGCAATGACTTATCAACCAATAAGTACTCGGGATTCTGATAATATTTATCTACATCGTGGTCTTGAAGGTTTTGTTGCTGCTATATCACCATTTAATTTTACTGCTATTGGTGGTCATCTTGCATCAGCACCAGCGTTTATGGGCAATACTGTTCTATGGAAACCGTCAGATACAGCTATATTATCAAATTATATTGTGTATAAAATTTTAGAAGAAGCTGGTCTTCCACCAGGTATTATTCAATTTATACCAGCAAAAGGAATAGACTTTGGCCGAACAATTACACAATCACCTAATCTTGCTGCTATTACATTTACGGGCAGTACGACAACATTTAAAGTAAATAATAAAATAAGAATACATTCATTTTGTTTTCTGTATTTGGATAATGTCCAATAGGCTACGTTGTAGCAATAAGAAATTATTTTAGCTTTTTAAAATATTTCAAAAATCTTATAGGGGAAATGCACAAACTGATTAATCGTTATTGAGTCGAGATACTGTAGCTGTATGATGATTTTTTTTTCAGTCAATGCCGGGGTCCTCTTTAGGAACATCAGAAAAGTTGGTTTTCGACAGGAAACTTTCCACCGAGAATAGTTCATGAAGATAAGTGGTATCAATGACAAGCTTTATTCTAGGGTACTTCTAGTCTACATTATACATCTAATCTCACATCAAAAGCAATTAATCAATTAGACGACGTCCCACGTAAGGCCTTCAAAATCATCAGATTTCTATTATCATAAATAAATAACTCTTTTTACAAAAGAAACTACAATAATGTAAGAAATAAATCACACAGATTTTGTAAAATAGAGTGCTCATTCAATCGTTCTATACCAATAGCTTTGTTCTAACATTTTTTCTATTTGAAAAAAGTAAACATTCTTTATCAGTTACGGACTTTGCAAAATAAGATGTATTCATTATAGTACATGCGCGCACATCTCTACACTAGTCAAAATTTCTATAGAATATTTTTCTTCTATTTGACACATCTACTCAGTTAGCGAAAATATGCATAAATATGTTTCAATGTTGTGTTAGAAGTTTTTGTGATTTTATAACTTTTAAAAACCATTGTTAGTTTTTCAAGTAAGAACATTGTAAAACAAAATTTTGTCTTTTCTCATTTTCTGACTCTTATAAATGATTTTTTTTTTCAAACAATATCAACTAATCACTATGAATGATTTATTAGAATATGCAAAATGATTAATTGAAATTTTACCAATTTTGTATTTTATAATTTCTTTAGACTCTATGGAAATGGGTAGCAGAAAATATTGATAATTATCGAACATTTCCACGTTTAATTGGTGAATGTGGTGGTAAAAATTTTCATTTAATACATCCATCAGCTGATTTAACAACTGTAATCAATGGTACAATACGTTCAGCTTTTGAATATAGTGGACAAAAATGTTCTGCTTGTTCTCGTGTTTATTTACCAAAATCTTTATCAGATAAATTTTATTCACAAATGAAAAATATTATCACAAATGAATTACGTATTGATACACCATTAAAATTTGATACATTTACATCTGCTGTTATTGATCGTAATTCATTTAATCGTATTCGATCATATATAGATTTTGCACGAACATCATCAACAACAAAAATTCTTGTTGGTGGAGAATATGATGATTCAATTGGTTTTTATATTAAACCAACATTAATTGAAACAATTGATCCAAAAAATAAATTAATGTGTGAAGAAATTTTTGGACCTGTTGTTACAATTTATGTTTATGATGATAAAAAATTTGATGAAATAGTTGATTTAATTAATGAAACATCAACATATGCTTTAACAGGTTCAATTTTTTGTCAAGATAAAATAATTTTAGATAAAACACATGAATGTTTAAGAAATGCAATGGGTAATCTTTATTTAAATGATAAATCATCTGGATCTGTTGTTAATCAACAACCATTTGGTGGTGCACGTTTATCCGGTACAAATGATAAAGCAGGTGGACCTCATTATTTATTGCGTTTTTCATCACCATTATCAGTTAAAAATATGAAAGAACCATTGAAAACATTTAAACATGTTTCAATGGAATAAGATATTTTGTCTTTGTTTTTTTTTTTCAATTTCAGTTTTTTATATTATTTTATTCCAGTATGTTGTGATCTGACGAATTTGTTTTCATCAAGTTTCAATAAAAGATCTATTTTTTTCTTTTGATTGTAACGTTATTAATAAATTTTTTTTGATGTATTCAATAACGTTTTTTGTTTCTTTGAAATTAAGAACAAAATATAAAGTAATGAAAGAAAAACATATAAAAATGAATTTATTTTCAAAAACTATTAGCAAGAATTCTAAGGAATTAGAATGTGAAATCATCATAACACATTATTAATATATATATGTATTTCTTAGATCGTGTTAAAAAAAAATTAATCATCAAAGTTTACTTTTATTTCTGATGCTTACTTACACGAGGGAAGATTGCCAAGTGATAAATCATTTTTAAGCTGAACCTATATTCAATTATTAGAATCCAGTGTGTAAGTAAATACCTTTGAGTGATTCAAACAGCTGAATCTCTGTTAATAAGATAGCAAATTTTTAATGAATTTCGACCTGAGGTTTTGCTAGAATTGTTGTAAAAAACATGAATATTTTCAGACATACATATTTGATAGAGACTTGGTAAAAATTTCTGAAACTTTTCTACCGGCTACTATAATGGGGTGCTTTTATGATAGTAACGGTTCGAGTTGAAATTCAATAGTATCAGTTCGCTTGAGAACTGTGTCCTTGCAAGAAAAACTCAGTAAAAATTCGATATCTCAGTAGCAAAGGCCCAACTGCTCGAATTATTCTAGGATATTTATTTACTCACTAAATCTGATCGATTGGATATCGATCCAACTCAGAATCGATTTATCACTTAGTAGCCTCTTCTCATTAGCAATCTTCAGGATAAGGTATTTCTCGTACCTTGTAACCTAACTGACGAGGGGACTACTCGAAGTGATTTCCGATCTAGCATTAGATATTTACCAAAAAATCGAATAACAGAATTTCGACTTGAGATTTTGTCCATAGATAAACCAGACGACTTGGGAAATATTCTTAACGTTTCAGCCGAAAACAATGTTCCTTCGTCGAGGTATTGAGTTTCCAAAAAAAATGTTTGTTTGTCCCCAAAATCGAGTTTTGTTTGGAAATTCAATATATCGATAAAAGAATTTTTGTTTTCGACTAAAACTTTCATGATATATCCAAAATCATTAAAACTATCTATGGACAGTCTCAAGCCATAATTTCGTTGTTTGATCGTTCGGCGAATACCTACAACTCGATCGAAAATTGAGTAAAAGAATTCTAACTCAGCTCAACAGGCCCATGAAAACAAACTCTTTTAGAATGTTTTCATGTTTAGAATAATAATAATAGTTGAATAATGTTTATATTGTAGTATGATTTAAAATGTCAATAGACAGTGATTATTTAAGTTTTTACGATTGGATTAAAAAGAATGGTGGTCAAATTCATGAATATGTAAAAATTGATACTAAAGAAGAACGAGGTCTTTTTACAACAGATTCCATTGAATCTTATACTGCTCTTGCTATTATACCTCGATCATTAATAATCAATAATCAACATCCTGATTTATCTACTATTAATACTGATACAGAACGACAAACATTAATTGTTTTTCTATTACGTGAATATATGAAAAATAATTCATCATTTTGGTTTCCTTGGATAAAACTTTTAAATATTAATAAAGAAGCAAATGAATTATTAACAACACAAATGCATCTATTCGATTGTGTAGAACATAGTACATTAGGTCAAGCATTAACAGATCGTTATCAACAACTTCAAACAGAATATGAACAATTAACTCAATCAAATATTATTGAAACAAATTTTGAATTATTTTGTGCTATTGATCATCTTGTTTGGTCACGTATACTTGATTTACCTGAAAATGAACCTCTTTCATTAGTACCATTTATTGATTTTGCTAATCATAAGTATATTATCATATCTTTAACATATATAATTTAAGATTTTTATATTTATCATATAGTTTAAATGCAAATGCACGTTGGTTTATTGATGATAAAACACATAATATAATTCTTCGATCTGAACGAACATTAAATTCAAATGAAGAAATTACAATTAATTATGGATTAAAATCCAATGAAGAATTATTATATTTATATGGTTTTACATTATCTAATAATCCAAATGATCGTGTTAC